TTCTGAGTTTGCGTTTAGCGATAACCATGTTTTTTTTTTTGTTTTTTTTTTTGTTTGTTTTTTTTAAAAAAGTCCTTTTTGGGCCATTGACTAACCAGCAGTGAATTGAACAATAGTCTTTTTATTTTGCATGCAGCACAATGGTGGCTCTTGTTGCATTATTGATTATCTAGCTGGGCACGCTTAAAGTCTTAAGAAAACAATGGTGTCGAAGCTGCTTGTTTTAGATAAAATTCTATTGTTGGGTGCTGTAGGAAGGTCTCTGCTTCCAATACCTTGTTCTGTTTGCTGTATTCAAACACTAGTTTGCTATAGCATTACCAAGTGCTAAACTCATTTAAATATAGTAATCCTAGAAATTTCATACAGGTCTCTGACAGTAGTTATCATTATATTAAATGTTAAGGTATATAGGAACTTCCCTTATTTTACCCATATTAAATATGTGTGTGTGTGTATATATATATATGTATATATATATATAATGTATGCATTTTGAGGGCACTTAAAATGTTACTCTGGCTAATGGATAGCGCACAATTTCATGAGTTTGAACTGTGGATTGCCTCTGTTTTTTGAATTAGGTTGGCTGATCTTTTCTTCCTTTACCCTAGTTTTAGCCTTTTCTTTGTAGTATGTTTAACACCGCTATCTTGGTGTGACTTCCTATAAATTAACATGTGTGGGTTTTTTGTTTGTTTCTTTTCCCTGAGGCTTTAATTACCATTTTAAGTAGAAGACACATGAATTTCTATGAATTTGCTTAAGAGCTAATTTGAAGATAAAACTGAAGTGGAAAGATCAGCACAAAAAACAGAATGGACTCAAACAGTAAATGACATAATGGAAACTAGAACTAGTCAGTATACAGAAAGGAAGTGGCAAGGGTCATGCCTACAATTTTGCTATAAGTTGAATATAGGTTCCCTCCAAGAGCCCTTAGTCCATTGTGTAACTCTCTGTGAAGTTGGTGTAGCGGTTTGTGTAATCCTGAATAACTGAAAGGACCAAAAATTTGGAGTGTATGAGGAAGAGATGTATCAAAGCCTATGTGCCTGAATCAGGCCTTCCAGTGTTGTCTGACTATACAGGGCGAGTACAGTAGAAATACTTGGGAACTGAAATTTGTGAGGAAAGGACATGATGAAAACTCACTAATAAAATTAACACACTTAATGTGTTGATAAAAAGAGAAGTGTCTGAGCAGAGGACACTCTTAAGACTTGCCTGTCACCTTGGAACATGCATGGCAGAGCTTGGCTTTGTTCTTCTTCATCTTTAGGTAATAATCTTGTATTAGTTCTTGGATATTTGGGCAGACATCCATGTTTGTGTGTAGATAGATGCTGGTATGATTTCTTAAAGAAACCGGCCCATGTTGGGTGTGTTCATGTCTGCCTAAACTATTAAATTGAGGTATGTTCTACAAAGCAACAATGTGTTTTTCCCATATTTCCTATCCTCTAATGGTTAATGCTGCTTACTTTGTTTCAACCAGCCTACATTATAAAAGGAGCAATCTCCAACATCCACCATCTAACTTTATTTGCAATATTTTTACTGTAAGTAGAACTAATGGCTTTTCTGCTCTGTGTGTGCACGTGCCTGCATGTTGAAGTGGTGTTTCGATCAGCTCCTCTGCATACGACAGCTAGGAAAGTGGAAGGCCTGCATGTAAACTCTTCATGCACCTTTTTAACCATTTAGCCTAAAAACTTAAGTTGTGTTTAGCTGAGATCTGAAAGAGTGAAATGTTACACTAGTTAAAGGAGTTAGTCTGGATGTGCAAGAATAGATAATTTCTCTCTGTGCATCCAGCATTGTAGTGGTGTTACAGAGAATTTATTAATATTTCTGCCTCTGTATACTTTTTTTTTCCCCCTTCTCCCCACACAGATCAGTTTAAAGGTGGTAAATCTGGTCTGGCACAATCAAAGAGCTGCTTGGACTCTCAGGAATTATTAGAATTACTGAAATCCAGAGACTATGAGAGGTATGCAGATTTTCATTTTTCTTAAACCACAGGTTTATAACTTGCAGCTTGCAAATAACTGTTAAGAGATGGCTTTGTTGTCTAGCAAAGTGGTATGTGGGTCTTAATAGTGGAAATCCTAGAGATTCTGCTGTGCAGAAAACTTCTGTGCAATATTACTGTAACAGGCTCTTATCTGTATTAAGAGATTATTTCTTCTTCAACAGAGAGGTTAAAGGATCTAAAGAAAAAGTTATCAGTGATAAAGATCTAGAGTTGCTCTTGGATAGAAGTGATCTTATTGGTAAGTTACAATTTTCATCCTTTTTTTTCTCTTTGATACTTAAATCATATTTTATATCAAATTTACTTTACTAGAACCTTTAGAGTCATTAGAGTCTTTATGTGGAGAAAACTGCCACACCATTATTGTATTAGTGTTTGTGTAGCACATTTTATAATGGTTGTTTATTCATATTTTCTTTATAACAAGAATCAGTGTATTAAAGCTGTTGTAAAAGATACTAGTCTAGCATTGCGTCCTGACTTTACTGTAACTAGCTGCAGTGAATGCTTTAGAAATTGAAATACCGCCTCCTGTCCCTGTAAACCATAAATAAGTTTGACAGAAACCCAATACTTTTTTTCTTTGTTTGTTTTAATATTCACTGGGATGGCAAAATAGTGACTGCAAAAGCTTGGAAACAAGATGCAGACCTGCTAATTTTTCAAAAGAACATAGCTAGCAGGACTATAGCTTTCTGTGTGTGTGTGTGTTTGTTTTTTTTTTTTTCTCCAATGACTTCCACCTCTAGGTTTACCCTTTTTTGCCTTTATTTCGTGTGTTTGCCCCTTTTTTGTGGGTGTTTTTTTGTTTTTTTTTGTTTTTTTTTTTTCCTTCTTGAGAAAGACAGAATGGATACTTAAAGCCACTTATCTTCATTCAGATCTAGTCAGAGATGTTGGCTGTGGTGCTTGTTTGTTTAAGGGGCTGAGAAATAACCTCCAAGTACAATCTTCTAGTTGACGACTGTTTATAGATAAGCGTCATGAAACAAGGAACTTGCCTTTCAAATCCAGTTAAAACAAAAAAGTGTTGCTTCTCCCTGACGGATAATTTTTTTCTCTCTGCATTGTCATACTTGAATAGAAGATTGCAGATGATTTTCTATTACTATTCATCTTTTTTTTTATCCTAGATCAAATGAAAGCTTCCGAAACAGTTAAAAAGGAAAAAATGGGTGTCTTCAAGGTCCTAGAAGAATCGTCAGGTTCCAATGCAGAATGTGTATTTTAATGTGCAAATGGCCTGCAGCCTTACAGGACAAGGGTATGTCTGACACCAGTTCTTAGAAAGATACCATTTATACATACCCATCCTTTATACTGACTTTCAAGTCCTTGTTCAAGTCCTTCATGTTCTTTGAGTGAATTTTACCATGTTCTACAATGTAACTTGCATGATAATTTCATGTTTGTAGCTTTAGCTTCTGATAAAGAATTAAGGAAACAAGCATTTCACATTTTCAGCTATTTTTTTTTTTGTGATCAATGGTAGAAACTGCCAAAATTGTTTAAAATCTTCCTGTGGAAGCCCTAAAATACCTTTTTTTTAATTTTTTTTTTAAGATGTCAATTATGGTTTCTTTGGGAAGGGAACGAACATGTGCCTTTGTTATAGCCACTTGTGTAACTTCTGTTTTAACTTCTGCAAATTATTTTGATAAATAAATGTCTTGCTTACCCTAACGTTGAGGGTTGGTCATTATTTTACCATAGCTTCCTAAATAACATGTTAACCCATGACAAACACATTTGACAAAACAGGCAGCTGCAAGGAGGAGATGAGCTAACGTCTGCGCTTGGAAAGGCTACAGTTCTGTTCTGGCCTGGTGGCTGCCACACCACGGTGCCAGTTGGCAGATAACTTGGGCTCTCTGTTGAAAGCATGTGGAGGGGGCTGAGGGCACTCAAGGGCCAGGTGGAGGTCTGAACATGTGCAAGACACATTTCTGAGTGGAGCAGTGGAGCAGAAGAGATATCTAAGGATGCAAAGGCCAAAACAGCAGGAAGGCTGGATTTATACTTGAGCAAGGTAGAGATGGAGGAGAGGAAGTCTTCACTATTCCTCCAAGGAACTGGGTAGTAAGGCAGCTAAGGGCCAGCTGAGGCATCGTTTAGCTTCCGCGCTCTGGATTCCAGTTTGTGAAATGTCATGGAAGTCAGATCAGAGGCTTAATCAGAGGCCCCTGTTTGGAATTCCAGCTGAAGCTGTCACACATGTGGCCATGCTGGTTGTGCCAATGTGTGGGTAATGTGGAATAAAAGCCTGCCTAAGTCATCACACCTTCACAAATGGGTTCCTAAGTTGCTTGGCCTGTGGAGGAGTACCTCCATGTAAACCCAGATTTGGTGAGCACAGGACCGTGCTCTTTCTGGATTTTTTTTTCTCACAAGGATAAAATTCTTCCTCTCCACAAAGTATAATCTGTTGGCCTGAGTTGAAAACGCTTGTGTTAGTAACAGGTATTTGTTTATCCTTGTTGCGAAGTAATGAACAGGCTGGCTTTGCCCTTTGCCCATTGAAGGCCCTATCTTGTTTCTAATTTCCAAAGATACAAGTTTCCAACTTTTTTGTTCTTCAGTTGCATATTAACCTAACTATTGCAAAGTCCAACTTGCTGTTTTCATTTCCTACTTACCTGTTCAGTCATTATACTTTTCTCATTTATCTGTTCTATTGTGTCTAACCACCACCTCCTCATGAGATTTAAGAACAAGTGAGAGTTCTACAGTGAAGAGTATGTAAGTGGAATCACTGCAGTATAACGGTACAAGTACAGTAACTGACAGGCAGCTGAGCAGCCTTACCTGATTTTTTTTTTTTTTCTCTCCCCAAAGACTCAATTTCTCAACCTGCACAACTCTCTGAATGCCACCTCAGGGCAGCATGGTAGAAAATAGAACTGAGCAAGTGCTGCTACCTCAAGAGCACTGTGTGCACTTGCTGTGAAGGATGTCCCTGTTACACTTTGGAGCAGTCCGGTCTTGCACAGTTAATGCCTGTGGCCAAAGGCTGGGCTTTGAAAATTGTCTTACCTTTTTGTAGATGGGGAAGATCCTCATTTAAACAGAGCAAGGGTATTGGAAGGAAAGGATAGGGCTTTAGGGGGAGACAAGGACCTAAGTGTTTATAGTTGTTTTAAAGGAAATAATGTGCCCCCTGCTTGCTCATCAGGGGGAAAATTATTTCTGTCTGCTCTTAGAAGCCAAGTTCTTGAAACATGATTGTTCTGGTAACTTGGGAACAGTGCTGTTCTCTCGCATGTTGTACCCAATACATGCCCAAGTATGTGCAACTATCTTCCTTCTCGTCCAGAGGAAAAAGAAATGTTTGAGTTGTTGACACCAAATGCAGCTTCAGAAAGATGAGGCATCAGTTTGCTCCTAGGTCTCTACTTGCACATCTACTTGTAGCTTTTTTTAACTTATTATTTTAACTAGGGAGTAACTCATTATTTGCCAGGAAGAGGTTTTTAGGAGAAGGAATGTGTGTTTTTTTCCAGGTGATGACACAATAATGTAGTTATGGAGGATAAATTTAATCTCACGTGGCATGTCACCAGCACTTGAATAAGTCACACACATGTGGTCATCTGGGTCTTTTTACTCACCTGCCCAGAGAAGATGATGTATGAGCCATCAAGACTGTGCCCCGACAGCCCTCTGAGGTCCCTGGGAAACCATTAGTAAATTAAAAACTTACAGGCACAGGGGCACAGGTCAAGCAAATGACATTTTTTTTTTTCCCCTGTGCATGTAGAGAGCATAAGGTCAAGAAAATGAGGGGGTTTCTCGATTATACCATTTGCTTCTTTTCAATCCTTTCCTAGCTGCTTTCTTTATCACCTTGGTGCAGGGGATCCTTACAGGGCAGCACGATAGGGTCAGAGGCAGCAATTGGGCATTTTTATCTGTGTAACCAGGTTAGAAGAGGGAGCCCACAACCCAATTTCTTTGCTTTAAAAAGGCATGATGCTTCTGTGAGCCCCTCCCTTCCTGGGAGCGTGCTACCTCAGTTACAAACTGCCAGACACTGCTCCTTAGTAACCTTTTGCTTATTTCTTATATGATTTCGAACTTCTTGAGTAGGTGGTTCTCCAGTGTCAGAGGCCTGACCCCACTTTCCCCATGCTGCTCTTGCTGTGGGCAAGCGCCAGATAAAGATGGGAGGAATTTGGGAAGTCAGACTGCAGCGAACACAGCTGCCAACTATTTTCCCCTGCATCATAAAATCCCATTCCTTCCTTTTTTTTTTCCAACCAACTGCAGCAGAGGATGAGCACTGGCTATGGCCAGCCCGCTCCCACAGCCCTGCCCGGCGCCAGCGCTGCCCTCTGCGCTACAAAGCTTCCTGCTAAACCAGGAAAGTCACCCAGTCTTTCCTGGCGAATGCCATGCGCAGGGAAGCTGAGCTGGGCACCTGCAGCACTGCTCTGCTGCGCTCCTGTCCAGCCGCACCTGCGCTGCGGAAGGGAGAACATTCACCTTAAAAAAAAAAATATCACAACCAAGAGCTGCCCTGTAGAGCTGGTGGTGTGAGCATCCTGTCTGTACTGTGCTGCAGGGCATTCCCGCTGTGCCCCATCCCCTCGGGCTGGCAGCTCCCTGGGGATGAGGCAGGAGCGGGTGCTGGTGGAGCTCGTCCGGCCGTCTGTCGCTCGCTGCTGCCCATAGAAGGAGACGAGCTAAATTTAGTCAGGTCTGCAAATTATACCCCCTTTCCAGCCCTCCAAAAAGCTGCACAGCTGGAGGCTTGTGATATTTCAGCCTTACCTCAGATGCGAATATCTTCAGCAAGGCAGCAGGCACTAAAGGACTGGCAACTGTGCGGCACTGCTGATGTTAGATGGAGATTTTGTTAGGAGGGTGAGGAAACGACGCTTCCCATAGCTATTGCCGGCAGGGACCCACAGAAAGCAGGGTGACCCCCCCCCCCCGAGTCCCCAGGCTTATTAGGCTGCTGGTTTGCCCTGGGCTGGGCACTGCTCGGCTGCCCCCAGACCTTGGCATGCACACAGGAGCGGACACGGCTCAATTCGGATTCACCCTGTTTATTGAACGCAATTGGAAGGCAAACGACAGACCCGGAGCAGCTGTAATGAGACTTTGGCTTCTGACTGTCCTGCACAACTGGCTGCGCAAAGGAGGAAAACAAAACAAACGAACAAACAAACCTGTGTATCAAAAAAAAAAAAAAACCCCTTGGTAAAAAAAAAAAAAAACCCCTTGGTAAAAAAAAAAAAAAAAGTGAACAGATGAAGGAACACTGAAAAATTAGTGACACCAGGTGTGAACAGATGGAGCATTAATTGAGCAAGGAAATGCAAAGCCGTGCCTAGCATTCCTCGTTGCGAACAGGCTTTGGCAAGGGAGCAGGGCCGATGCTTTCCGTGGAGGAGCCATTACTTGGGGAAGACGGTGACCACCTCGTAGCCCTCCGGGGGGACAACCCGCTCGCGCGCGTGCTTCTCACAGTAGATCTGGTCTTCCACGAAGAAGTGTCCTTTGTGCTTGAGGCTGGTGCCGCAGTCGCTGCACACGTAGCACTCAGGGTGGCGCTGCTTGTCGCGCAGCTTCACGAAGGGGCCCCTGGGGAGGCAGCGACACCGCTCAGCTCCCGCCGCCTCCAGCCCGGCCTCCCCACGCCCCGCTCAACCCAGAGCCCTGAGCTCCCGCCAGGCAGATACTGCTGCCCTGTTACAGCCACCCGCCCAGCGCAATGGCAGCTTCCTCCAGGAAGGGCTCTCTAGCAGTGGTCACCTTTATTCTACAGGGACTAGCTCCTGTGCTGGCAAATGGCCTTCCTGAGGCACCTGGAGTCAGCGGGGCAGGGTCACGTGGCAGCAATCAGCCTGCCCACGTGGGAGAGCACATCCAAAGCACCTGGAGTCCCAAATGGATCCAGAAATGAACGCCACCACCAAGAGAGGGCCAGCCTTTTGCCAGAGACATTAACACCAAGTATTTGCAGGTGAAGCAGCGACACCCCAGAGCCTGCTGTACTTTCGGGTGCTGTTACTAACAACAGCTTTCACCAAAAGGGGATGAGCAAAACTGTGTAACTTGTTAACTACAGCCACCAGTTTGCCAGCAGCACAACTCTGTCCCAGCAGCCATCTCTGTTTTCACTAATTCATTAGTCTTCAGCGCTAGTCACAGTCTCGCTCCCCAGCTCTATCCCTGTGGCAGAGCAGCCACAGCATTTGCGTTTGGCTCATGTTTCACAGGCTAAGCACTGCCTCTGTCCGCGAGGACACCACTGTGCCCTGGCAGTCAGGGCAGGCCGAGGCCATGAACAGAGGTGCAACAGTCAAAGAGCTGCCTGTGAGAAATCACTGGATTCTCCCATGAAGCTCCAGCTGGGCTCCCAGCTCTCAACCACCACCGGTAAAATCTGGGGGTAGCAGGGAAATAGGTACGAAGGAAAAAAAAATGAGGGGAGAAAAAGTAAATTTATAAGTAACTAAACAGAGATTAAAAACTACGGTTGGGTCCCACATGCTTATGCTTCACACAAGCCCTGCTGTGCCAGATGCTGGGCTTAACCATGTGAGGACCCTAAAAATTCACTCTGCATATGGACACAGAGGAGACGTGGTCCTGCAGCAGGGCCGGGACAGAGGGCAGCTCTCCCAGCCCATGCTGTCTGCCTGGGCAAACCACTGCCCCACGGCCAGGAGGGCTGAGGCACGAAAGCCATCGAGCCCCGGGCCCTCCTGGCAAGGGTGTTTTTGTTTCTGGGTGCTGTAAAGAGATTTCAGGTGGCAGGTGAAGCTCTGCAGTCACAACCACCTCAGTATGTGCCTAATGGGGGTTTGCCCTGTTCTCCATTGCCACGATGTGCAGAGGGGACCCCAGATGTGCTGAGGGTACCCCAGCTCCTGCAGGGACTTGCAGAGTTAGCACTGGCAAGGCTGGCCGTGCCCTGAGCATGCAGAGACACGTGCAACCCTGCACAATGGGCAGCCCCATGTGGCCACGGAGAGCTCGGCCGCAGCCGTGGCCCGCGCCGGGGGTACTTACACGATGCCCGAGCCGCACTTCTCGCACATGGGCAGCTTCTGCGCGTTCCCGATGGACGCAGCCACCTTTGTCGTGGGGGCTTTGACGCTCCTGAACCCGGACGGTTTGCTCGGATCACCTGGGGGAAGGCGAGTGTTTCAGGGCATGTGGGCTGCATTGGCCCAAGCTCTCCTCACAAAGCTCAGCTAGGGAGGGAGGACTCCCTTTAACCCCCCACTTGCAGGCAGGGATTCATGCATAGAAAGGAGGCTGGGATGTAGGGGAAAGGATGGATATAGCTGCACATGGCCCTGGAAATCCAGCTGGCATTGGTCAGCATGACCAACACAGGCATCCTCCCAGTGCAACACAGCACAGGAGCGGGCCCAGGAAAGCGACATTTATCACCATGAACACTATCTGACTCAGCAGCACGGGGCATTTGAGCAGGGCGGATGGGGCCATGCACCGTGCCAGGCTGCACCATGCTGTGCTGTGCCGTGCTGTGCCATGCCAGGCTGCACCGGGTCAGGCTGCGCTGCAGGGAAAGCGCCCGCTCGCCGAGAGACATTCCTGGGGGGGCTGCGTAACCCGCCGGCCCTGTTCCACATCGATGGTTATCAGCTCACAGGGAACCGTGCCAGAGCCTAGTTTGGCCTGTGATCAGGCAGGCAAAGTTCGTGCCAGAGAATCCCAATAATGCTGCAAATCTTCAAAAGAAAGATAAAATATAGAGGCCTTTGCTGCTTATCTTCTTTAGAGCTGCTAAGCAGCGGGGAGGACTTCCTGAGGGTGCTTTCAGAGCATGAGCCATTCGGGCTAATCCCTTCCCCTCCACAGAAGCAGAGCCCCAGGGGGCAAGCAGCAAACATACAGCAGTTAAAAGGTGCTTTCAGACAGGTATTTTAACAGCAACTTAAGACTGCAAGATCCTGGTTTCTTTTGTGTTGTTTCCTTATTTCACTTATTTTTCTGCTTCCTCACAGATCACTTGGACTACGGTCCTTGGCTGATCTGTTCTCCTTTCTGGTGAATATCCTAGCACCAAGCTTTTGTTGGATGAAATTAAATGTCCCACTGCCAAGCTAGCAACACAAAGGACAAAGTCTCAACTGGTCTGGGGAAAAAAAAAAAAGTTGTCATTCTTGGAATTCCTATTTCTTCGCTTATTTCATTTTATTTAAAAGGAGAGAATGGAATATGACTTGGTCCTCACCTAAATTAAGGGAGTTCGACTATGAAGTCTATAGTCATGAACCGCAGAAGTCCAGATATTAGGTCAAAAAATGCCAAGCAGCATGAAATTTCAGATGTTAATAGCCTTCAACTGCTTGCCACAACCCAGGTGCGTACTTTTACATTCAGCTGTAGAGGGGAATCCTTTTTCCTTGCATAGCAGGATGAAAAACCACAAGCTTTAGGAGTCACCAAAAGAGCACTTGCTATCTTGCATTAACTCCCAAAAACTTGAATCTAAAATGGTCTTTATCAGCAAATACTAGCTGAAAGGAGCAAAGGATAGAAAGATTTATGCAATGCTTTTTAACTGCTTAACACTGAAGCATTGTAGAGGTTTATTTCTTCAACAGCCACCCGATTAATGAGCAATGCGCTCATGCAGTTTGAAACTAAACAAGGAGGGGAAAGTTTGGGTCAAGTTTGTAGGTTTTGCAGAAACCCCCTACACCTGCCACTTCAGACAAGCAACAGCTCAGAAAGCAGAGTAACGTTTTAGCTGCTGGTCTGAAACAGAGCCTGTGTTAGGGAGCAGGCACAGGCAAAAAAAAGGTGCAGGGCAGACAGACACGGCGCACAGCAACCACTGACCTTTCTCTTCCGACTCTAAAATCTCTTGCAGCACCAGGAAGGAGGCAGATTGCCGGGGTGGCTCGTTCGCCTCTTGGTTCTCCTGGAGCATCTTGTAAACCTCAGATTCTCTGTCTATGGCGATACCGCTCGCAGGCTGGCTGTGCTGATCCAGGCTGAGGAAGGAGAAGGGCGCAACAGTTTTATTAACAATTCAAGCCAGGCCTGCTACCAAAATCACCAGAGTGCATCATACGAACATGCAAAACACAGGCACGACGGGACGCCGTGAACCACGGAGGTGCTGGATGCGCTCGCGCGAGGCAGCCGCAGGCCGGGACGCGCATGCCGGGCTCTCTGCGCGCACCGCCCTGAGCAGTCCCCACCAACACCCCCGGCCAGGCTCCACAAGCCCTCCCTGCTTCACAGTTACCACGAGCTCCAGAAATTAAAACATTCTGTCCAGGAAATAACAGCTCTTTTAACAATAAAATTAAGAACTACAGTGCAGGGATGGGATCCCCCCCAGTACTGTGCCACATAGGCAAGTTCCTTGCAAGCCTGCCCTTCCTTAGCCTGCTACCTTAGACTCCACAAACCTTAAACTAAGTAAACTTTATTTCTTGAGGACATTTGAATATCCCCAAGGAAAAGCTCTCCAGCAGATGGACACTGAGGTGTGACAGGACTTCGCCATGGGTAGGTGAGGAGCCTCTGTACCAAAGGATTTAAGAACAGGCTGGACAAGTAGCTGCTGGAAGCGGCTTAGAGCCAATCAACTGATGGTCAGGAGATGGACTAGAGGACACTGGAGGTCTCTCCCAGCCTGGAATTCTGCAGCTGGAATAAAATACGCCTGGAAAAATGAGACAACTGACAAGTCTCCTCTGACTGCTCAGTTACACGAAGGCAGCCTTCTCAGTGCAAATGGTCTCTTAGATTTCACCATTCCTGCACCCTGCAATGGCCTGAAACATACATAAACATCCTGAAGTTCAGACTAAAGCACAGAGGGAAATCACTTTCTTGAGGAGGCAACTGCATACTTTCCATGCCAATGTGCTATGGAGTCATCTGGGAGTTACTCTACAAAATAAACTTTCAGGAACCAGAGGTAAAGTGATCGCACATGTTATAAAATGCTATTCCTATTAAAAAAAAAAAGAATCATATTTTTTTTCCATCTTTAGTTATTTTCACTGGAGTGCAGAGTACATTAGACTTGCAAGCAGCTGAACCTTGGAAGCATAAATTTTATTTACTAAAGCCTCTTACCCAAAATAAAACCAGGTCTTTGCTGTTGCACAGAAATATGTCCCAGATTATCTCAAATGAATCCATGTTACACATCGCTTTCTGTTTATGCAAACTGATACTCTTCCACCACTCTATTCCCCCATAAAAATATGGGGCTGAGAAGACTGTCATTACATCTTGCATTGTAAGACTTATTCAATAACATGCATTCAAAATGCAAAGGCTAAATCATCCTAGAGAGAATGTGTCCGCAAAGCCATCACGTTTCATCAATGCATTGTGCCAGTGGGCAGACACACAGATCAGCTCTTCCCGCTAGGCAGCGTACTGACATACTTGTACACGCAGGACAGTGCAGGCAGACTCTGTTCAGAACCAAAATCCTAGAATTTGTACCCAGAAGGGTGGAACATCCAAAGCTGGCAGGGCAGAGGGATACAAAAATAAATAAAATAAAATAAAATAAAATAAAATAGAATAAAATAAAATAAACCCACACAAAGCTCTCCACTGGGAAGGACATAGGCATGTGAATGTCGCCTGTATGTGATGAGTGTCTCCTTGATGGCTGATGCCAGAGGCTGCTGCTTCACAGGGATCAACCCTGCAGCAACACGGGCCCCTAGAGCCGACCCTTTTCCAAGCGCAAGATTCCCGAGAAGCTTTTCAGGTAGCTCTTCCAACCATTTCAGAGGATTTCACTGCTCCCACCTTGGGCACCATGTAATGCTCCCCAAATACCACTGCCTTACTGAGCTTATTTGCTCATACACCGCAAACACAGCTCACGTCTTTCTTACTACTGTGACTTTACTGCATTGTGTTAACACATTTTGCAGCGTTGCCATGGATCTTTTAGGCACAGCTACAGCACTTCCAGCACGAGCTTCTGCTACAAAACCACAGCTGACGCCGGGGGTCTTTGGGGAGCGCCATCACACCCGGGCCATCCCAGAGCACCGGCCAGATGCTCGGGGTATGCAGCGCTGCAGCCAGCACAGAGGACACCCAGAGCACCCGTGTGGCTCGGGAGTGAAATGTGTTCCTGGCATGTGTCCATGGCTGGCAAAACTGGAGCTGTGACAGCACACAGCAGCACACGCCAGTCATGATTACATTTTTTTTTCTAGTCCAGAGGAAACACCAGTTTTGGGGGATAAAATGCCCCTTTCCCCCCCACTCCAGCATATCTGTTCACTGTCAGCAGCTCCTCTGAGACAACCACCAGGCACAGCTGATGCCTCTGCTGCGTGGGCACATAGGATGCAACAGACAACAGTGACTGAGACGATGTTTCGGTGATTCACTGGACACAGAGAGACACAAGGCGGAGAAGGTGGCCGTGACGAGCCATGCACTAACACGGGAAGATGTGAAACGCAAACGTCGCCCCGTGCCAGGCCCACGCTGTGTGCGGCGGGCACAGCGAGCCCCTCGTGGACGCGGACGAACGAGTGCAGCGAGGCAGCCACGGCCGGTTACCTGGGGAAATCGGGGCTCACGGAGGAGATCTGCCCCTGCAGCGAGTCCAGGATGTTTCTCTGTGAATAGAGCTGCACGGGCGAATTGAACTGCACGTGCAGCACCCTGAGCCCCGGCACCGCCAGCTCCACGGGGCTGCTGGGGCAGGCCTGGGCGGCACGCTTGAGCTCGTCGGGCCCCACGCGCAGGGCGCTGGGCACGGAGGAGGCACTGGGGCACCGGGGCCCACTGGGCAGCGCCTGCAGTGGGGCATAGACCGAGGCGACGGGCGCCCGCAGCGGCGACAGGCTGCTAGGGGCGTTCACAAGGGCCGTTTGAGTCGTGGTTGTTTGGGTTTGGCATTGAGAGAGAAACGTAGAGGAGGGAGAAAGGAGAGAAGGAAGAGATTAATGGAGAGCGGCGATACAAGCACGTCCCGAACGGTGACGGCAGCCCCTGCTAGGGGCACGCGGCAGAGCGTGCTGCTTCACACCACAGGCCGCTGGCTAACGCTGTGGCTCCTGCCTCCCTCCGAGGTAGTGACCACAGCGCCGGCCCAAACCCCATCGCTCCGCAGCTGGGCAATGCTCAAAAGCAACAAAAAGGTGGATTTGCTGTGAACCAGCTACCTGAGCACAAGGCAGTGCCTCAGGCCCTCGCCCTTCACCGCAGGCCTTGCAGAAAGGCCGGGCTGGGGTGGGCCCAGGTCTCAGCAGCTGCGCACAGCCCAGCCCTGCGAGGCCAGGCACAAGGGAGACGGCTGCCGGCGTCTCCCTCTCCAGCCCAGCACCGGGCTAGAGGACGGGCCACGGGGCCGGCCTGCGCACGTGGCCGCCACGTGCAGGCCAGGGCTGTGGAGGCACTGGGGAGGCTGCCTGGGACACGAACCTACACATCCCTGCGTGGGCACTGGGGAGACCGGGACAGGCTGTAATGGCAAAGGGAGGCCCCAGGCTCTCACTGAAATCCCTTGGGTCAGCACAAAGCCAGATCTCGCTCATCCCCTGAGTGATCCCCCGCCAAGGTCCATGAGAGGCAACCTGGGTGAGGGACTCGCAGCTTCACAGCTCTGCCTACAAGAGTCCATGCTGCAGATTGGCCTTTGAGCGTGAGAAACCCTCTTCAGCCAGGAGCAAGTTTTCAGGCTTGTGTTAAACCACAACCTCAGCTTTCTGAGGTGCTGCAAAAGCAGAGCCTCAAGTTGCTTCACCTTCCCTACGCACAAGCCAGGAATTTAGTTGAATACCACAAAAAGTATGGATTTTGCGGTATTTGTAGCAAAAGTGGACAAAATCTAAGCATTTTGGTGCTCTTACACAGAGACTTAGGGCAGTTGTTAAGCAACTTTACCAACACAGCCAGAAAGACTTCAGCAAGGTCCTGTCTCCTGACTTCTTGCAGCTTCAACTAAAAAGAGGAGCCCTGGACATTTGGCAAAAAGTAATGTCTCTGGCAAAGCTCAGAGGCTGTTGCAAAATCAGTAGTCCCTTTGCAGGTTGGGACCATTTCGATTTCACACACAAAACTGCTCACATAGGAATTAGTGTTTCAGTTGTTTTCTAAGCTTCATCTAAAAAAGAAGTTTCAATAATAAAAATAAAGACCTCCAAGCCTAGGCAGAGCTTGTGTAAGCATCACAGGCCACCAGGAACAGGGACACACATGCTTCCTGCACAAGGCGGCACCCTTCCTGCCCAGCATCACCCGCAAAGCCAAAACAAACTGCTAACTTTCCAAAGGGCTCGTAACAAGCTAGCAGGCACCTGTGCACACCAGAGGGCTGGTTTGTCAAGCTGAACGCACGATGAAATTGCATCGGTCTCTGCTAAACAAAGAAAACAACAGCATTAATTTCAGTTCTGCATCTTGGAAAATGTCCCCTGCTCTTCTGAGCCCTGCCCTGGGAACCGCATCCAAGCTCATGCCGTCGCTCCTTCGCCTGTTCTGAAAGAGAGCGTTTCCAGGTTAGGGACTCGGGACCCTTGCAGCGAGCTCGGCCCCCGGGAGCCTTCCCTTGGGAAGCAGGACAGGGAGGCAGAGGCGAGGGAAATACTTACGGCTTGGCAGGCTCCGGAGCCCCAGACGATGACTTTGACTCCACGGCACTGTTGAAGGTCTGGATGTTTTCTGAGGAGTAGAGGCCTGCTGGGTTGTTGTACTGAGCAGTGATGACTTTGGGGGCAGAGCTGGAAGCCGTGGCAGCAGTGAAGGGCACCGCGCTCCGGTTGTGTGCGCTTCCTATGTGCCTTATTTCCTGCATGCAGAGGAGCAAAGGCAAAAATCAGAGGTGCTCAGGCATGCAGGTGGGATGTGACGGGCAGCCCCGGCATGTGCAGCCCTTGCAATGGTTGTGTTGGTGCAGGGCGTCAGCTGGGGAGCACAGGACCCAGAGCCACGCCACAGCAGCAGAAGGGTGTCCTTCACACACTTGGGGGTCCCCATCCCCATCCTGCATCACTGCGCAGCTCACACCAGGCTGACATGGAAGAAGTTTCAGAGTTGATGTACTGGGCACGGGCGTGCTCAGAAATGCTGCCAGAGCTGTTAGCTCAAGCCACCACATGTCTGGGAGCGCCTGCAAGCCACAGGCCCTGCCTTTCCACATGCGCCACAGATTTTAAGCATTCCTTGCAATTCCTGAGATCAGGGTGGAATTCTATGGGACAGTGAAGATATGGTGCAAAAAGTGGAGCTCTGCTCAACACCTGAAACTTTGGTCTTGCTGAGATAAGAGCACCCAAAAAGAAGGGATTTATCGTTACTGATAATGCTCTGGAGTAGGTCTGCCCATTTGGCTAATGAGTGAACTACCCCATAGGACAGGGGTTTGCAGTCCTCTCTGACAAGCAAGGCAAGACTTTCTGGACAAGAAACTCCTCCAGCAAAGAGTTAGTTACTTGTTAGTAAGTTAGCACTGAGCTAAATACCTTGATAACCACGGAGACCTCTTCAGGGCCAGAATGATGTGTTCTAGGTCTGCTGTAATCCTGAGGTTTCCAGAGGTGGTGGGAGACACTTAGAACCAATAGTTATAATTTAATGAGAAATAAGATTTTAATAAGAAAGGGACTAAGTCCAAGTTAAACCAGACATGAGGTAAATTTCTTCTGACCAAAGGAAATGGTGAATGTATAAGCCTTGTCATCAGTTCAGCACACTGTGAACTCCAGTCATGAGGCTGTGATTAAAATGTCTAGGGTTTATTTCTATATTTCTATTTCAAAGCAGGGAGAAAGCACATTGGGGCCTCGCTCAAGCAGGCAGGAGAGAGGACCAACATTCACAGAGATGTCTAAAATATCTGGGGCCAAAGGTTGGCACAAAATTGAGCCCTCCAAAGTGCAGCTAGCTGGGGAGATGAGGAAGGCTCCAGTACTGGCTGACTCCCAGCAGTGCAGGATGAAACACGGCCCACGCTGGCACGCTAGGCCCACACTTCCCAGCTCTAATCAGCACAACCGGTTCCTCCTCCCACTCCCAGAGCAACAGCAGGAGCCTTTGCTGCCCTTTGAACGTTTCATGGCATTTGTTTGATATAGCTATAGTTACAGAATAAACACTCACTGGAAATGCATATGGCTAAATTCCCCTACAGATTTTTTTTTAATATCACTTTTACATCCCTACATTTCCTCAAGCAGCTGGTTAGTGCTCCCAAACGGACCCGCGTGAGTCACATCATTGCCTCATGAAGCTCAAGTGCTATTAGTGGCATCAAGGGTCCCTCAGAGAAGGGCAGAATAGGTCCAAGCACACTCGTGAGTTACAGGTCATTCAAAACCAGTGGGGCAGCCCAGGCGGGTCAGGTGTGGGGCAGCAGGATCCCTCCCGCACGGCTTTCTGGCCTCTGCCTACGGAAATCAGCCGTGCAACTTTCCCACACGCTAGCGGAAGGCAGACCCTGGTGTAATTAGCTAATCTCCCTTTGTTACAACCTCATTCATGGCACATAGCAGCACTCATAAAAACGGCCTTTCCCATGGTAGAAATAGTGTATGTTAGCAAAAAAAAAAAAAAAAGTCATTACCTCAGCCGGGAAATCACACCATGGGGAAAAGTATGAGTGATCTTATATCAGTATTAAATACATACATTAAATCACCATTCAGAGGCTGCATGTAGGAAATGTTCTCAGATATGCATATGAATAGTTGTTCTAATCAAAGACAGGCAAAATTTTAGGCTAAGGAAGCTTTATACTCTTAGCTCAGAGTTTAAAACATGTCACAGTCTGTGTTGCAGAAAAATTTATGTACTAACCAAGGATTAGAGAAAGGGAAGTAATTTTTTTTTCTGGCTTCCTAAGGAAGCAAAGTATCCCATATACATATGCCCCACCAAGGGCATGTTGTCACCCCAGCCAAGACTTTCTGATCCAGTCAGCCAACTCCAACTCAGTGTGATAGAGGGACAGAGTCCTCAAGGAAGGTTATATTCCTTCATGTGTCGTGAAAATAGTGAGTCAGATGGTGAAGAGACTGCAGGCACATTAACAGTGCTTTACCCCACAAACTGCAACGTGAGCTCCAGTGCAGCACCCAGCAGGCGATACTCTAGACCCACTTTCAGACAGTGGGGATTTTTCTGCTGCACAAGACTGTACATGAAGCTTTCAAAGTGTTAGGACATCTGCAGTGGCTCTCACATGGATAAAGTCCACTGATCATAATGGAGCTTATAATAGCTTAAACTGGTGCTGAAGGTGGTTTCTGAAGATTAAGTTGAAAAACGCTGCCTTAAGAACATGGCAGAATTTATAAAAGCTAAGTGTCCTACAGATAAGTATCACAGGAGCAATAACATTATAAAGCTCATTTGGACAACCCAAATTTGACAGCATTTTCCTTTATGCTGTGCTGCTCTTTCTGCTTGAGCTGCAGGGTGAATTTGTGAAGGAAAAAAACGCTTTCATGTAGCAAATGCAAGATCAATGCTGTCAAATCTACGCTGTCAAGTGCCTTTATCCAGGGCTTGGTCAGCACTGCCAGCGGTGCAGTCTTCACATTGTGCCCTGGCCTTTTGAAAGCCCAGCTCCTGGTACCACATGTTACATAAGAGCATCAGATGAAGGACATGCTCTTATCCAGGCAGAGCTTGGGCTGCTCTTTCTCAGGAGCACACAGAGGAATGGGACTGGTATGAGTTCCCACCTAGTTGTCCTCGCAGACTCGGGCACATTCGCAATGGTAATCAGATGAATTTTTGAAAGATGCCCCCCTCAGAAGCTTGCTTCCAAACTAAGAACTGCCACTTACGAAGTTAGTACCAAAAGAGCTGTTCATTGCTGCTTGATGTTACCTTTTCTCCACAGAGAAGCCCTAAGTGTCCGTGTAGCACAAGTTCATAAGCTTCAAAATCTTTCAGGGGATATTGCAAATGCTCCCATTCCAGGAGGGGAAAAAAAAAAAAAACAGTCCTAAGGATGAAATGAATGTTTAGATTGTGGCCTTCATGCTCCCACCTTTTATTGCCTCTCCTTAGGTACAAGAGCCGTGTTGCTCACAGCAAAATGTGTCCTTGCCTTGCCCCCAGCAAAGCACATTGGGGAGAAAAGCGCTGCCCGGGCGCAGGCCATAGCAGTCCTTTCCAGTATCAAACTGTGATGTGGGGCGCCACGTCACGGACTGCTTCCTTCCTCCAGCCTGCGTAGGTGCAGCTGGGCGGCTGGGCCAACCCTTCCCGGCGGGA